ACACACGTGAGTGTATGTGTGTATACGTGTATATATGCAATGACAGAAGTATCATATGCTTAGAATATATATGTGAAAAGTTTGTCAACTTACGAGAGGATACAGGGTTAGGGAAACACAATTCCATCACAATTCCAACGTGGCAACTCTTCGGCCAGGTATCAGTTGTCCCCCGGCCGCGGTCGTGAAAGGTTGGGTGCTGTCAGTCTGTCTGCGTGTAGTCCTCACTGGGTGTTTTATTGTGTGTTTATGCTTAATTCTGGTGCTCCGGTTGGACTTACTGTGCTTTAGACCCCCCTACACTTGCTGCAGTCCATATGTAGACTGAAGTTAGGAAGCGTGTGGATTATGTATTATAATACCAATCATAAGCAAAGCTAGAACACTCGGAGGAACAATGAATCAGCAGCATCATGGAGACGCGATTATCGCACGATATTGCTAAAGTGAACAGGCGCTGAAAGGTCCATCAGGTACGTCACTTCGGAATTTATTATTTCAGGTGTGAGTTGTCATCACATTAGTAGTTTGTGAACATTGTTCATGGGATATGGAATGTATTCCATTATTGATAATGAACAATCATGTGAGATGCAGAGAATACTAAGCAACACCAATCGTTTACGTGGAAAACTCGGCAAAACATGCACCAAGTTATCAACGGAAATTTGCTTAGAATGGATTTTCAAGTGGGCGGTATCACAACTTCAATATTTCTGTATATGTATGTATTTATGTATATTATGTATGTGTGTGTATATATATATATATATATATATATATATATATATATATATATATATATATATGAATATATATATATATATATATATATATATATATATATATATATATATATATATATATACATGTATATATGCCTATATATGTATATATATATATATATATATATATATATATATATATATATATATATATATATATTTATATATATATATATATATATATATATATATATATATTTATATATATATATATATATATATATATATATATATATATATATATATATATATATATAAACATATTTATACGTTGTACGAATGCATAGATACATGCATACATAGAATGAGATAGGTATGTTCATATAAATGTGTGTGTGCACTTGTGCGTGCGTGCGTGTATGTGTTTATGTATGTATATACATATCACTTCAGGTAAATTCTGAGACAACATAGAACGAGTTGGTTGTCTCACAGATCGATAAAACTGGTCGATTCTGTGCGGTAGGGAAATCTTACCTGACCCTCGGTTGGGACATGTGGTGAGGAGTTGCTGATATACTTGTATGTTTTTATAATAATCTTCAATATTTGTGTTTAGTTGGCACAGCCCGACTTGTAAGCTATCACAGAGAAAGAATTTGTGTCAGTCGATGTTATTTGTACTCGATGGAGAGCCTACAGAAAGGAATTGTGTTTGCATGTTCAAAGCGAGTCGTAATTAGTAGCACACCTTTAGATCTGACACAGTCAGGTCAGATCTAAAAGCGGAATAAGTGATTCCAAGCGGTCCTCTCACTTATCCTGAGTTACCTTATAGTCTTTTCTTTCATAATGCCATCGCCATGCTTTAGAAAGTGACTAAAGAGTTGATTATACGAAAACAGCACAATCTCTAACACTTTTGGATAGCACTGGTTGTTTACATCAATTCATTTTGATGTGTAAAAATGTGTTCTTTATTCCTTTAAATTTGATGAAAAGATACTCGACTGTGCTCACCGGAAATAAGGCAGAACTGAATATGCTGTAGACAAAGGGCGGCAGATTTAGCTTCGACAAGAGTAAATATCGCAAACGAGTCCTTCCGGCGCCTCCAGCCTCGCTGGCTAGGGACAGTGGACGGACGGAGGGGGCTGGGTTGGAGCTGTAGCTCTAAAAGAAAGTTTCTTTCTGTGTGGAAGGAAATGATTTTGTTAACAAAGGGAGTCCTTGGTTTTATCTTATAGTTCCTGAACACTACTGACTGTTTCCTATTGATAATTCGGCACTGTGTGATATTCTAGCCTGCAGTTGTTTGTCTTCATGCCCGTTGATAGCGAAATTAACAGAAACTCTTACAATAACTCGTACTTGCGGACACAATGTGATAAGTAACGACTTTTTTGCGATCGCAGTCCGTTTTTTAATCATTGAAGAATATTGTTTTGTAATGATGCAGCAAACTTTGCCAAAGAAAGCACACACACACACGCGTGCGCGCATGTATGTGTTTGTATTTATGTATTTATGTATGTATTTGTATACGCATAAATAGATTTATGAATAAATAAATATATGAGTGTACGCGTGTGTGTACATACATATATATCAGCGCCACAGTTTTGTTGATTCAGTCATACAGTGGAGTAACCTGCTAATTCGACCAGATGATCTGAACCCCTTGCTGACATGGCGACATTTCTGGAAAGCCAAGCCAGTCTCTGTCCGTTGCCGTCGACGCGAGGGAGGGTACATCTGGGGGTTATGTCCTGCTG